ATCTATTTTTACTGCAGAGCTGCATGCTATCCACTTAGCCTTAAACTATGTAATCAGAAAAGGTCATTGTCGCTGTGTTATTTACACTGACTCAGTTAGTGCACTTCAGGCTTTGATCTCGTGTGAACCTAGTTCTCACTCTATAGTGATTAAAATTCGTAAATTGTTTAGCCATCTTCTTGCAAGGAATTTCTCTATAAAATTTTGTTGGGTCCCAGGCCATGTTGGTATAAGAGGAAATGAAGAAGCAGATGCAGCTGCAAAATCAGCTAGTCCTCCACAGCACACAATGCGTATTGAAGGAGGTGATTTCAAGCTAGTCATTAAAAAACGACTAGCAGAGAGATGGCAAAATATGTGGAACGCACAAGTCCACAATAAACTGCATGAGATCAAACCTACGATAGAAAATTGGACACACAAGAAATTTTATAACAGGAGATCTGAAGTTATTATTACTCGTTTGAGAATTGGACATACTCGGTTGACTCATCAATACCTTTTGAAGGGTGACGAGCAGCCAGTATGCCAGTATTGCAACTGTCCTCTTACTGTAAAACACATATTGCTCGATTGCTCTGTTTTTGAGACCAGGCGTAGACAGCATTTTGGAAATGCAAGTTTTAAACAGATTCTGGGTCAGAGGCCCAATCTTTATGATATATTAGACTTTTTAAAAGTCACTAATTTGTGTAAAGAAATTTAATTATTTATTTATATATATATCTATTTATTTATCTTACAGCTTTTTGTTCTTCTTGTTTGTTATTAATATGTATATATTCGTTTTTTGTTTCTGTTGCTGCTGTTTATTTATTTATTTTTGTCATATGTTTGTTATTTGTGATGTTTATAATTATTTACTATCTGTTATGGCGCAGCTTAGCCTATATGGCTCTTGTGCCAAAAAATTAATACCAAACAACCGAATAGGTAGATTAACAAATTTAATTGGTTTCATTTTTGTCATGCCAATACAAGTAAACTCAGTGGTGTCGTCATCTAACATCCTTATACCATCAGGTAACTGATCTTGACGAATTATTGTACGACATGAACTTGTATCAACAAGGGCTCTTATGTTTCCTATCATTGACACTTCAACTTTAATATATGGGCTATGAACTTTAGAAGTGTTAGCATTGATGTTTAAAGCATTGCTTTTTTGTTTCTGTTTCTTCCTGTCTTTAATCTCTTTTGAGCCTCCTCTTTCAGCATTATATTCATTGGCCTGTGTAATATTTTCATTTTGACATGTCTTGGCTAGATGTCCTAACTGTTGACATCGGGTTATTTGTAAAGGCATCTGAGCGTTTTACTTAGGGTCTTTTTTTATTAACTTCTCGTCTGTACGTTTAATAAAATCAACTGCAATAGCCGGATCCTTTACTCGAGCATTTGTATTATTTGAGAACTTATGAGGTTGTTGAACTTGAGTCTTCATATGCATCCTGGCTTCAGTCTCTTGCTCATCTATCTTGCGTGCTATACGCTGTAGTTCAGCAATACTGTGCACATTATGAGTAGCAATAGTAACTATGTGTTGTTTATTTTTTATTCCATCTAGCAAATAATCAATTTTGTCAGCTTCAGTAACATTTTCAGGACAGTTGGTACGCAATAAACACAGCTTAGCATAGAAGTAACCTGTGAGACTCTCATCTTGTCTTTGTTCTCTTTTTTTCACTCTGTCACACCACATTCTCAACGTCAGTCTTTCACCAAATTTGCTTTTTAAGCTTGTCTTCCATTTAGTCCAATTGTTAAGCTGGTAACCAATTGCTTTATGCCAGTTTTTCGCTGCTTTTCTCAGTTTGCTGATGGCTAGTGGAAGAACTTGGGTCTCAGCTAGTCTCTGTTGATTTAGAGTCAATTCAATATAATTCAACCATTCGTCAGCACTCTCTGTAGTAGTACCACCAAATTCAGGAAGAGAACTCGTCAAATCAGGTACAGTTTGGACTTCAATAACTGTTTTTTTAAGTTTCACACTGCCTGTTGCTGGTTATCTATTAATAATATTACTTTTTCCATTAGCGTTTGCATCATATTCATAGGATATGGATTTACAGCTTGATCTTCGGAAGGAGATTCGTTAAAGACTTGTTTTTCTTTTGCCTTGCTAGTTTCGCTAACATTCTCTTTTTCACTTAACATTGCGCTAGTTAGTCGTTCTATTAGTTCAGATTTTTTACCAACTCGTTATAATTGCCTTTTCTCCAATTCCTCTTTCAAATATTCAATGGTCCTTTCTTCTAAATCNTCTGCAAATTTAACACAGTTGTCGGGAAAAAAAAAATGTAAACAACTCCGATAGCAAAATAATTGTGAGAATTAGAGCGGAGGTCACCATTTGTGATAACAATTAGATGGGAAAGTTGACACATAGGTGTCAAGAATGCACTGTTATTGCCAACATTTGATGATCCTGTGACTCCTTTCCCACGACAATCGAATAAAATCTTGAGCCCCGGAAGCTCAGGGCAATCCAAAAAAAGTTATACTTGTCAATGTGTGCATCTTGTCTCCCGGACCTCCATACAACGGACTCAAACAAACGGAAGGAGAAGATATAGGTAGAAGACAGACCACAGCTTTGAACTTCCATACTTATCGCCATACTACGCCGGACTACGATTGGTATGTGTCGAAAGCCCCTCCTGCAAACTGTGGAGGTTGCGGGAGGGGCTTGAACCCGCAACCTGGCAGTTATGCTTGCCAGTACACTTGCGTAACTGGCAAGTGCACCACATGGCAAGCGGAGGTTGCAGGTTCAAGCCCCGTCCCGGGCCAATTTTTTATTCCAGAAGGTTCTAAATTTATTTAATAATTTATTTATTTTAAATTACAATATTAATGTACTTAAGAGATGGCTCCTAACGTCTATCTTCAGGGTTAAATTACTTTATACCAATTATTTAATTAGCCATATTATAGCCCGATATTTTTTATCTGTTCGTTTATAAAAATTTTTTTTTATTGTAAAGTAATTATTATCCAATGTGAAGATAATTAAATCTTTCAAATAATCAGAGACACCATACTTACATAAACTTTTTACAATCATATTTTTAGTAATGGAAGGGTACATAGATGTTATATCCAAACTCATCAGTTTATAGTTAGGCGAAATTTCACCTTTTTGTAATCTCGATATTAAATCATCAGCATTTTAACTATATTTTTAGTATTGTATATTCTGTAATAACTTCTTAATGAACATTTCCAGGTTATATAACAATGTAAACCTAAAGTCTATAAAAGGTCTACATTTGTTTTGTTTGTGTTTTAATTCTAACCGTGAATTTAGGAATTCTTACATTTTCTATTGGAACTATTACTGTACTTTGATGTGCCAGGATATAACCCTATTTCACTAGTTTCTTCAACTTTTTAATTAATGTTTATCATATTTCGATAAACGGGTTGTTTTCTAATTTTTTGAACTTTCCTTCGGATATAATTTCTAATTTCTTATTATCTAATTCATGTAAATCCATAATAACTATTTGATTTGACTTATCTTCTTTTAATAGGCATAACATAGTTTTTATTAAATTTATTAATAAACCTACGCCAGGTGTCGCCGACGTCAGGAATCTGATATGGCACCAAGAAGAAGAATATTTTTCTTTATGATCAAGAATGTACCCTTTCTTGATATTAAAATTTTTTAAATGTTTACATATTTTAATTCTAAGTTCATCGTTTTCTATTTTTTTAAGGTTACATTGAAAAATTGCACCTTCAATATCTGCGATAGTATTTATTATTCTATTGGAAAAAGGAAATTTTCTACCAGCATCATATGACAGCAAGGGAGATGGCTTATAGTGTGGTAATCTTTTTCATTTGTAGGGTTGGGTGTCTCGGGGATGTACTTTTATTTCTTATTTTCTATTGGTTAGGAAAATAAGCATTGTTGGGACAGGCATTGAAGAGAATAACAAAAGTAATTGTAAAAGCCTTACTGTCCTTAAATTCTAATGTTATTGTTAATTGTCTACATGGACTTTACTTATTAATAGGACTTAATACTGGTGTTTAAAGATTGGCACAGAATGAGAGTTAATTCAGGAAAGAACAAAATTTCTTTATTATATCACCAGTAGTAATAATTTCTGTACACATATGTGTTTCGGGCTAGCATGCCTCTCATCAGCAGTACTACTACCATACACTAAAAAGGTAACAACAATAAAACAAATAAGTTACTGTATAAGTTAAAAAAATCTTTCAGTTAGCCATAAAAACAATTTTAAAACTTACAGTAAATACATATTCCAATCCCGAGTATAAATGTATCTTTCTTGTTGTATAATTAAACATTTTACTATATAATTAAATTAAATAAATATAGTAAATAAAGGTTGTAAATTATTAAAATCTAACATCATCATATAATAAACCAAAAAACTCACATCAAGATTTTATTTTTCACCATTCAACAGTGTTATGTTAGGGAGACTGTTAACTGTGCTTTTTTATAAATGTCATCAAGTATGGTGCTCCAGGATTGGTGAATTATACGACTCAAATTATTGTTAATTCTATTTCTTTCTTTCTTTATGTTTAAATGTTTGTATATTTGACGTTTGTAATTATTTGATTCTTTTTTCTTAGTTTTTATAGTATCTTTGTTGATTTGGCACCCATAACTATTGCAGCGTTCTGCTACTGCAGAATTTGCATAATTACCCCTTATTGCACATATGTGCTTTTTTATTCTTCTGCTTAATTTGTTTTTTGTTTCTCCTATATAAGTTTTGACCGGATCACAGCTGCAATTGAATGAATACACAATTTCTTTTTTTTCCATTAAATCTAATTTTTTATCTACCCTATGATATAAATATCTTTTTAAATAAATTATTTTTTTTGGTATTAAATTTACTTTTCCATTAAGTATATTTTTAACTGTTCGAAACAGTTTAGGTACATTCATCAAACTTACACATTTTTTAAAATTTTCTATTTTTATTTCTTTATTATTAGTCCAGTTTAACCATTTTTCTAATATTTTTTGGGGGTAACTATTCAGTAAGAACATTTTTATGACGTGTTCTATTTCCATCTCTTGATTTTCTAATTTACTAGTTATGTTTTTAATTTTTTCTATGTACATTTTAAAGATGTTAAATTTCATAGCTTGTGGAACGTTGGTTTTATAATTTAGTACTTGGTTCTTAACCTTTTAGTGATGAGGGCCCATTCATTAAAATTTTTGTCTTGCCATGGACCACGAGCTGTTTGACAGTAATATAGATTTATATAAGGTTGTTCTATAAATTAAACATGTATAAAATTATTCGGAACCAAGAGTATTGTGAGAATATGGACGAGGGTCCAGGCCCTCTAATTGTCAGATCTGTTAAGACCTGCTCACCTTGTCACTGGATGGCTTTATTTTTAATCAGAACCCGAGTGGTAAGATTCTGTGTGGGTTTGTGCATAAGTAACAATGAATACCAGACAAGAAGGATATTAAATATAAAATTAACAATTTAATTATTACGAACAGTACTACAATATAATGGATACAAAGGAATAACATAATAAAAAGTAATAACAAGATGGGGAATACCTAGGTATGGATAATTCTTATATCTCTATGTTATTTTAAGCTAAACCCGAGAGAGAGAGAGTTTTACAATAAATTTTACCTCGTTGTTCATGTTGGGAATCGTTTTCTTGTTGATTCCTTCCTGGATAGTGGAGCTGGGAGGACAGGATAAGCTGGTGGATGAGGAGCACTCACTCTAGCAATAATCTGAATGAACTCCCATCATATGGATCTCTATGGTGAGTCCCTAATGTTGCTTGTGCATTTTGTTGCGGACTGTCGGTCGTATGGCAATTGGTGACGAACTGCCTCGAGTGTATGAAACCCAGCCTTTTTATCTCCATATTTTGCAATGTCATGATTATAAGAAATGGGTTATGACATTTGAGCAGGTGGTGTGCAAAATTCTAAGATACGAGGCGTGAAGGAAGGAAGCAAAACATTCTCAGTTCTTGTAAAAGTGCCACATGACAGAGCAGTTTCACAGGATGTAAAAATTTATAACCTTATTAGGTTATGTTTTATTAATTATTCCAAATTTTATCATTTTTTTATATTTTTGAGTGAAATTAAAATATATTATTTATTACGTAAAAGTATATAAATTATCTCAAGAACACCGTCAGATTGTCACAGTATTGTTATTTGCGAAAATGTTACATTAATTATATTATTTTAGTGCGATTTTTGTGACTGCATACTGTTTACCAACTGCTGAATTCTTGATTCAGTGCTACTCAAAACCAAACACATGTCGTCACTGGCATCCAACTGATATCGATGTTTATTTTTAATTAACAAAAGCACTGAGAATCCTTGCTCTCATAAATATAGGGTTCAAAATAAAGTTAGGTACCATAAAGCAATTTCTTGAATTTTAGGGAAAGCAATATCTTTTTGGCTCCAAAAATCTTTAAGATTAATTCCTGTCTCGAACGTATCTTTGCAATTACTATCGTGTTGCATTTCAATTAACTCTTGTATTTCACCCGGCACCTCAGAAATGTTGACTATGAAAGGATTGCGAATCAGTTTCCGAATACCTTTGTCCTTGCAGTCAGGAAAATAGCGATTGAATTCATTTTTCAAGTTTTGCAAATGGAATGTAATATTCTTCTGTATTTGTCCTTTAATTTAATCTCAGCATACTGTTCATCAATAATTGGGTTCAATGTATCAAACGCAGAAAAATTTTTTCTTTTGACTTTGCTGATCCATAGGTCAATTTTAGCGATAAATGCACTGATTTTATCTTTAAATGCAATTACAGTGGTACCTCGACATACGAGTTTAATTCATTTTGTAACCTTGCTCGTAAGTCAAATTGCTCGTATTTCAAATCAATTTTCCCCATTGAAATTAATTGAAATGCCATTAATCTGTTCCAGCTCCCAAAACACCACCTCAGTTGTTTTTGTTAAGTGTTTTTGAATAAGAAAAATGTATTTACAAGAAGAAACATATATTTATTTATAAATAACAAATACATATTCTATAAAAACATAATAAAAGAAAAAGTGAAGTGCTTACGGAAGCTCTTAATTTTCGTCACTGGTTTTTGCTTTTTTCGTCACACTTTGCTCATTTTCACCTGCAGATCGTTTATAAAAACTGTCCAAGGAGGTTTGTCCATTTCAGGATATTGTGGAAATGAGTTAGCAAGTTTCATTGAACAACTCCGATGGACGACCAGTTGCAACTTTTTTGGGATGATTTTTATCCACGAACTCTACAACTTTCTCCCACATTCCCAAGATTTCCTGTAGAGATAATTTCCTCCATCTCTGGCTCCTCTTCAAAACTAATTTTTCATTGAATCACTGTATGCTGCTGTGAATGTAGATCATGAAACTCCTTGGTTGTCAGCCCTTGAGACTGTTCCTCGATGAGTTCGTTCACATCTCTTTCATCCACCTCCAGACCCATGGATTTTCCCAGAGAAACAGTCTCCTCTACCACTGACACTTCAGGTTCCAATCCTTTGAAGGCCCTTTCAGCTACAGTCTCAGGCCACAGCTTCTTCCATGCAGAGGTTAAGGTCCTCATTGTAACACCCAGCCAGGCCTGATGAATAATTCTTAGGCATATCATGATGTTAAAGTTGTTTTTCCAGAACTCTCGAAGGGTAAGGTTTGTGTTCTCCATCACCTCAAAGCAGCACCGAAAAATGTGCTTGGTGTACAACTTCTTAAAATTAGAAATTACCTGCTGATCCATGGGCTGCTGGATAGGAGTGGTGTTAGGTGGTAGGTAGGTAGGTTTATAAACTTGAACTCTTTGAGTAAATCATCTTCGAGATTTGGTGGGTGAGCAGGGGCATTGTCGAGGACGAGAAGGGCTTGCATGGGTAGGTTGTTTTTCTGTAGATATTTTTTAACAGAAGGGCCAAACACCAGGTTTATCCACTCCACAAAGAATTTCCTGTTGACCCACACCTTTGGATTTGCTCTCCACATAACTTGCAGTTTTTCTTTTAAAATCTTATGTGACTTAAAGGCTCTGGAATTTTCCGAATGGTATACTAGCAGAGGCTTGATTTTGCAGTCGCCACTCGCATTGGCGCAAAGTGCTAGAGTTAAGTTATCCTTTGTGGGTTTCTGACCTGGCATCGTCTTCTCCTCTGCCGTTACATAAGTCCTATTTGGCATCCTTTTCCAGAAAAGCCCTGTCTCGTCACAGTTGAAGACTTGCTGATGTATCCTTTGGCTTCTATCAGTTTGGAAAATGTTTTGATGTAAACCTCAGCTGCCTTCACATTTGAACTTGCCTCACCATGCCTGACGACGGAGTGAATTCCGGTCCTTTTCCTAAAGTTGTCAAACCAGCCTCGACTGGCTTTAAAGGAGTCTTCCGATTCCTTGTTTGTGGAAGTGTGTGGAATCTGCTTCAGCAAATCACCGTAAATCGCTCATGCCTTCTCACATATGATTCTTTGTGTTAAGGTTTCTCCTTGAAGCTGCTTCTTTGTCACCCACACCATCAGTAGTTTTTCCATCTTTTCATGGAGAGATGTCCGGAGCTTAGAAATTATTGTAACACCCTTAGCTGGCATTATACCCTTTATCAACTTTTTCTGTTTAAGCACAGTACATATCATTGATGTGCTACGCCCGTACATCCTTGCCAAGTCAATTACTTGCACACCTTGCTCATGTTTTTCTATGATTTTACGCTTTAATTTAATAGACATCATCTTTTTCTTCGGACCCATGGTTATAAAAATAAATGTGATAATGTTTTGTAAATGTACAAAAAGCAAAAAATGATAATTTAACTTATCAAAAATGCTTCGAAAACGAGGGAAACAAGCACACAGACTGAGGTCTAGTCTTAGGTGGGAGAAACCGTTAGACGCTGCATATGACACCAACATGTGCTTTGCATGTTGGGGTCATGTGCAGCGGTGTAGTGTGCGTATCTGAAATCTTGCTTTCATGCATTTCAAAATATCACTCGCTCGGTGGCTCGTATCTCAAAACACTCGTATATTAGGGCACTCGTATGTCGAGGTACCACTATATATTGCTAGTGCCTTCCAATTTCATATTTCCTGACCCTTGCGGTTGAAGGTTCAATTTATTTAGTTGTACAAAAAAAATCCATTAAATAAGCAAAATGTATTTGAAATTTGAACTGACAGAACTCAGACAGCAACTCTGTTTTTCTTATTAGTTAAGAATAATTTTACTACTACTCTGTTTGTACAATTCCGACAGCATATTTCCTTTGGAAAGTCATGGTGTGAAAAAGTAGCGTTTTATGTTCAGAGTTCGTATCATTGCATAATTTTTTGAAGAGACGAGTATTAAGTGCACTTTTTTTAAATAAAGTTGACTATTTTTATAGCTGTTTTCATCGTAATAGTAAAGTATTCCAGGAGCGTTTTAGCAGCCAATGCTTGAATTATCATCATTTATTTAATAATTTTAGGATGACCTCACGGACCACTTAGGGTGCTTTCAGGGACCACCAGTGGTCCACGGAACACAGGTTAAGAATATAGCTCTAAGGGGACTGTCCAAAGTTATCCTGGCAGACAATTTCTCTCTCATTCTCACGATGTACGATCTAGGATCTGTCAATTAGGTCTGGAATGCGATAATTAAATTGTCTCGCATCTTGTTCTATGGTCACATCGGTCCTGTTTACAAAATAAGTCACCAATTTATTGGCTTTAGCTTGACAGCCAGTTACTGTTCGGGGAGGGTGATCTCCTGGCTTCACAGAAGTGGAAGTGTTGGAGCTTTTTGATGTTAGTATTTGTCATATTTTCCTGTAATTTTATCCTTGTCGATTTGCAAGGGATAGTAACCTTCTTATTGTTGTGTACCATGCAGTAAGGCTGGGACCAGGATTTCTTGCTCTGCCACAGCATTCTCTTTATGCTTTTGTTCTAGTATATTATTAATTAATTTCTTATATTTGTGGAGTTCCTCTCTGTAAAGTATGCTTTTTCTTTCTTTTGTGTGTTGTTCTTTGGACCATGCTCTTCTGAGTTTTTTAATTTTATGCTTTTTCCCTTCTAGTTCATCAGACCACCAGTGAGTGTGATACTGGTTCCTCACTATTAGAGATGGAAAGTTGCATGGCGTTTGCTGTTGAGTCCTTGATGTGGGCAACAGATTTGTCAGTGTCCTCTTTATTTCTCATATCTTTGTGATGATAAAGTGTGCCAGTTCTCTGCAAAGTGGAGTCTATAACTATTCCAATTAGTGATCCTTTTGCTGTATTTGTTACTATTGTCACTGGTAGAGTTTTGATGTTGCACTTAACTGATCCCTTGATGTGGGTTCCTATCCATGGTGAGGGGACCTCCCAGAGATGGTTTAGTAATTCTTCTTTACCATTCTTGGGATTAAACGCCCACTCACCACTTTATCGTGTGTGGTGCCCTGTATGCCAGAAAGGGGGATCCTGGTAATTAAGGGGCAACATAATGTCCCTAAGTCATGAACTGATCGATGCAGGCCGGACGAACATGCCAGTTCAAGATGTTAGACAAGATGTGCTCCTCTTAACTGCATTGTGAGGGTATAGCTCCTGGGAAAGAAATCCTGGTGTGACGGTCTACAGGAGTTTCCGATGTGACAGCATCCCCTTGTTGGGTTCCGTGGTGGGTAGGGTCATTAGGAGTTGAATATTTATTTTTCATTATGGATCCAAAAACCATAAAACGAAAAGACCAGATCAAGTACCAAGAAAGAAGGAAAACAATTCCAGTCAACCTGCTTATTTGATAATACAACCGGAGAAAAACCTTTATCGAAATGCTTTCCTTTTTTAATACAAAAATTGTTTGAATTGATTATTGGACATTTGAAAAAAATGCAAAAATTGAGATCAGGAGATTTACTCATAGAAACAGCCTCATCTCAACAGTCGGCAAAACTCTTAGCAACAAAGACACTAGGAGACATGGAAGTGACTGTCGCATAAGTTTATCTTTTTCATAAATGCATGAATTTTATCATACAAAATTAATATGTTCATGTTCTCACCTTGCAGGGACATATTCGAGAAACTCAATGAACTTCATATGTCTGACAAATAACACAATTTGCAAACCCAAGTTTCATTGTGAAAGAGATTAGAAAAATCAGACTTTGTTTCTGATAAAAAATATCATTATCTTATCTTTCAACCCTATTAGTCGTTTAAGGCTCGTGCCTTTAACAACCACCTTACTTCTGTATGTAGTAAAAGTTATTCGTAATACGCTTTTATATCCTTACATAAATTTGCAAACAAACGACTATTAAGTGCATGAAATTTTATGAAATTTATAATACGTATGGCATCATTTAAGACCACATTAAGATCTGGTGATATTTTTTTTAACTACTAATGCTTCTCGATGAATGATGCAATGGGTAAGAATGATATGGCCATTTGTAATAGATTTAACTTTTGCTAGAAATCTGACATGCTGTCTTTTCATCGTTGCTGCACTGTCAGAACATACACCAATACAGTTATCCCCGTCTAATCCTTTCTTGAAAAAATTATTAACTCGTAAAAAAATATCTTTGCCTGTTGTACGATTGTTCATTGGCTGACAAAACAGTAATTCTTCATGTATATTAAAGGCATAGCTATATCGAACATAGACCAACAGTTGAGCTAAATTTGTAATATCTGTTGATTCATCTAGCTGAATTGCAAATTTTGGACTTTCTTTAATTTTTCGTATAAGTTGCCAAAACTGATCACAGCTAATTTCTGAAATCCTTCTAGTAACTGTATCAATGGAGAGAGGAATTTTCTGCAATTCATCTGCATACTTTTTTTTCATGAATGGTTTCTGTAATTTGTACTGCAGTAAGTAAAACAAGTTATTCTCCAATTGTATATGGTTTTTTATCCTTTGCTATTAGGTATGATGCTTGGTAAGATGCTAAAAGATATTTTTTTTGAGTAAAAGCATACTTTCCTAACAAAGATTTGCTTTGATTTGACGACTTTAATAAACTTTGAAAATATTCTATAGGTTTTTGAATAAGCAGCATGTTTTGTGTTGAAATGCCTCAGTAATTTTGAAGGCTTCATGCTTTCAGCAGCCAAAATATCATTGCATAATAAGCATAGAGGTAGTTATTCGTCATGCCTACCGGTAGAAACTGTAAATCCATATTGTAAATATGATTCATTATACTTTTTTTTTATGAGCTGGTCCTGATGCAGGTTCTATTTCTGCCTTTTTACTGCTTCCCACCTCAGCAAGATCTTTTGCATCTACACTCGTAACTTTTTTTTTCAACTATTTATCCATATTTAAGCATCAAACATTTTTGATACTAGATTTTGCTATGCTTCATAATTTTTATATTAAAACAAACTTTCAAAATATAATTTTTTTGTTTTTATATATATGAATATATCTATTTTTGTTTGTGAATAATAAAAAAATAACTTTGGACAATAAAATAGCCACGACTATTTTTCTAAAAAAATGTGTAATTTTCGTTAGGGTTAACATCAACAGAATTTAACAGGGCGTCGCAGGCAATGAAAAAGAATTTTGCTAATAAAAATAAAGAAATAAAAGTACTTTAATTACATTTATTTTGATATATTATTAGCAATAAAATACTATGGAAATGTTTAGATAGTGGGTACTTTTGTTTTGAATGTAAATACATCTAACTTGANTATCGATGACGTAATACACGTAACTAAGGAGCGAACGAAAAAAACCGAGTGGAATTAATTAAGTTGGAAAAAAGAAAGTGTGCATTATAATCGAGAAAATGCGAGTATTGTATTAATGTTTAAAATATTGGTATTAAATCTGTCTTATAATATCATGACGACTACTGTAAAGCCGGTTATTCAATAAGAATAAAATACAATACCAATATAGCCCTATCGTTGAAAAAATTCGCTTATTTTTGCTAGCCTCGAGTTTTGCTTAGTAGAAATGGCTAAAAAGTGCGCAAAATACGTATGGAAATACGGTCTTACAGCAGCACCTGTATTGGACAACCACCTGTCTAAAAGACCACTTTTTGAAGGAACCGTGGGTGGTCGCCATAGCCAGGTTTTACTGTATATACAATGTAATGTAAGCAAGGAGAAAAAAAAAACAAGTGTAATGTAAAATACATAATTAAAGTTTTATACATAGGTACATGAAATACGGAGATTGCAAATACAAATAAGCGTGGATGTGTAAATTTAACATACAAAATCAAGAGGAATTAAGTGATTAAAGTAATAAAACATACCTCTCAATGTGGGTTCCTGTCCGTGGTGTGCCTAAAGACGCAGTGCAGCTAGCGAACATTATTCTATCATAGTTTAGGTGGGGAATAAAAACTCTGGGATTCCCCAATAGCGCACAAATTTTTGAGTTATGTTTAGTGATCATATTAAAATATTCATATTGTTTTTATTATATGTGCAATTTTTTAAGTAAAAGTTATTTTATATATTTTTGATTTCTACTATTTCTAAACATGAATCTATAGTAAATTGATCTGTTATTACTTTTTCTGCGATTCTTCAAATATTTTTTACGACCCACCTGGGGGTTGCGACCCCCACTTTGAGAATCAGTTGTCTAGAGAAATTTATCACACCACAAATAATGGTTAGAATTTTGTCAATGGCAGTAAAGTCCAGTCTAATTTTTGTTTTAAAATAGCAAATAGTTTCATTCTCTGAATAGTATGTTCAACATGTATCCTGGCATTTGCTATTTCTGCAGTTTACAGTGCATTGTGCTTGCTTAAATGATTTTGCTTTCTTACAAATGGTCGGTGTACTAAACCAATAGCTCTAGCAGAACAAGCATCTTCTATATGAAAACCTTTATCTGTCATTACTTGAGCTGCATAAGGATCAAGTTAATTTAACAAATTTGATTCCTTAAATATGGCTTTGTCAGATGCCACATCTCCATATGCTTTACTTAAATAGGTGAAAAGATCAGATGGGGCAATTTCAACTAATACTTAATCCCTTTGCTACATTTTTTCCGGCTGGAATGTAACTTGGAAAACCGTTTTGTTTTTGAATATTTAAAAAAACTTCATTTCAATTGAAAAACAAACTTTTTTAAAATTTTTGTGAATGCACCAAAGTTGATTTCTAAATGGCACCTTTTTCTTTGGATAATCAACTTTACAGGGGACATCAATGGTCTCTCTCTGTATGACTTACCCCCTCAATGTGGGTTCCTGTCTGTGATGAGGGGACCTCCCAGAGACGGATTAGTAACTTATCTTTACCATCTTTGGGATCTGAACGCCCACCCTCATGTTTGCCGTGCGTGGAATCCCGTATGCCGGAAAGGGGGATCCTAGTAGTTGAGGAGATGGAAAGTTGCATGGCGTTTGCTGTTGAGTCCTTGATGTGGGCAACAGATTTGTCAGTGTCCTCTTTATTTCTCATATCTTTGTGATGATAAAGTGTGCCAGTTCTCTGCAAAGTGGAGTCTATAACTATTCCAATTAGTGATCCTTTTGCTGTATTTGTTACTATTGTCACTGGTAGAGTTTTGATGTTGCACTTAACTGATCCCTTGATGTGGGTTCCTATCCATGGTGAGGGGACCTCCCAGAGATGGTTTAGTAATTCTTCTTTACCATTCTTGGGATTAAACGCCCACTCACCACTTTATCGTGTGTGGTGCCCTGTATGCCAGAAAGGGGGATCCTGGTAATTAAGGGGCAACATAATGTCCCTAAGTCATGAACTGATCGATGCAGGCCGGACGAACATGCCAGTTCAAGATGTTAGACAAGATGTGCTCCTCTTAACTGCATTGTGAGGGTATAGCTCCTGGGAAAGAAATCCTGGTGTGACGGTCTACAGGAGTTTCCGATGTGACAGCATCCCCTTGTTGGGTTCCGTGGTGGGTAGGGTCATTAGGAGTTGAATATTTATTTTTCATTATGGATCCAAAAACCATAAAACGAAAAGACCAGATCAAGTACCAAGAAAGAAGGAAAACAATTCCAGTCAACCTGCTTATTTGATAATACAACCGGAGAAAAACCTTTATCGAAATGCTTTCCTTTTTTAATACAAAAATTGTTTGAATTGATTATTGGACATTTGAAAAAAATGCAAAAATTGAGATCAGGAGATTTACTCATAGAAACAGCCTCATCTCAACAGTCGGCAAAACTCTTAGCAACAAAGACACTAGGAGACATGGAAGTGACTGTCGCATAAGTTTATCTTTTTCATAAATGCATGAATTTTATCATACAAAATTAATATGTTCATGTTCTCACCTTGCAGGGGCATATTCGAGAAACTCAATGAACTTCATATGTCTGACAAATAACACAATTTGCAAACCCAAGTTTCATTGTGAAAGAGATTAGAAAAATCAGACTTTGTTTCTGATAAAAAATATCATTATCTTATCTTTCAACCCTATTAGTCGTTTAAGGCTCGTGCCTTTAACAACCACCTTACTTCTGTATGTAGTAAAAGTTATTCGTAATACGCTTTTATATCCTTACATAAATTTGCAAACAAACGACTATTAAGTGCATGAAATTTTATGAAATTTATAATACGTATGGCATCATTTAAGACCACATTAAGATCTGGTGATATTTTTTTTAACTACTAATGCTTCTCGATGAATGATGCAATGGGTAAGAATGATATGGCCATTTGTAATAGATTTAACTTTTGCTAGAAATCTGACATGCTGTCTTTTCATCGTTGCTGCACTGTCAGAACATACACCAATACAGTTATCCCCGTCTAATCCTTTCTTGAAAAAATTATTAACTCGTAAAAAAATATCTTTGCCTGTTGTACGATTGTTCATTGGCTGACAAAACAGTAATTCTTCATGTATATTAAAGGCATAGCTATATCGAACATAGACCAACAGTTGAGCTAAATTTGTAATATCTGTTGATTCATCTAGCTGAATTGCAAATTTTGGACTTTCTTTAATTTTTCGTATAAGTTGCCAAAACTGATCACAGCTAATTTCTGAAATCCTTCTAGTAACTGTATCAATGGAGAGAGGAATTTTCTGCAATTCATCTGCATACTTTTTTTTCATGAATGGTTTCTGTAATTTGTACTGCAGTAAGTAAAACAAGTTATTCTCCAATTGTATATGGTTTTTTATCCTTTGCTATTAGGTATGATGCTTGGTAAGATGCTAAAAGATATTTTTTTTGAGTAAAAGCATACTTTCCTAACAAAGATTTGCTTTGATTTGACGACTTTAATAAACTTTGAAAATATTCTATAGGTTTTTGAATAAGCAGCATGTTTTGTGTTGAAATGCCTCAGTAATTTTGAAGGCTTCATGCTTTCAGCAGCCAAAATATCATTGCATAATAAGCATAGAGGTAGTTATTCGTCATGCCTACCGGTAGAAACTGTAAATCCATATTGTAAATATGATTCATTATACTTTTTTTTTATGAGCTGGTCCTGATGCAGGTTCTATTTCTGCCTTTTTACTGCTTCCCACCTCAGCAAGATCTTTTGCATCTACACTCGTAACTTTTTTTTTCAACTATTTATCCATATTTAAGCATCAAACATTTTTGATACTAGATTTTGCTATGCTTCATAATTTTTATATTAAAACAAACTTTCAAAATATAATTTTTTTGTTTTTATATATATGAATATATCTATTTTTGTTTGTGAATAATAAAAAAATAACTTTGGACAATAAAATAGCCACGACTATTTTTCTAAAAAAATGTGTAATTTTCGTTAGGGTTAACATCAACAGAATTTAACAGGGCGTCGCAGGCAATGAAAAAGAATTTTGCTAATAAAAATAAAGAAATAAAAGTACTTTAATTACATTTATTTTGATATATTATTAGCAATAAAATACTATGGAAATGTTTAGATAGTGNTGGTGTGATATCTGAGACCGATCTAATGTCTGAAGATGAAGCAGATATTCAGATCGGTCTTTCAGATCAAGGTGTCACTGCTGTCCGACGTATCTGCATTCATCGAGACGGTAAGTTAATACCAACAAAACATTTAATTGTGACATTTGACAAGCCAACATTGCCATCCTTCATTAATGCAGGATATCTGCACTGCCCCGTTCGTCCCTACATTCCAAATCCGCTGCGTTGCTTCAAATGCCAGCGGTTTGGACATTCACGAACATCTTGTCGAGGCAAAAGCATATGTGCACAGTGTGGGATGGAAGACCACAACAGCACTGAATGTAAAAGTACACCATGCTGTGTGAACTGTAAAGATGCCCATCCTTCCTACTCCTGAAAATGTCCTGCGTGGCAGAGAGAAAAAGAGGTACAACGGATTAAAACCGTAAATAACATATCATACACAGAGGCCCGTCGCATGGCCATTCCAAGTGCATCAACG